CACCTTCGATTCCCTGAAACCTCACCGTATCAGCCACAGCCTGTCCTTAAAAACTTGCCACTGAAGTTTCAGGAACATAATCTCTACTAATACCATTCCTATTTGTTTCTTTATTTAGAGTCTCTGTATCACTTACTTAGACATAAGCATCTTTTGTCTTTACTTGCACAGAAATTCAACCAGTGTGCCGAGGTTGGGATCTGCCATTGTTCCTGTCCCACTCCTTGTTCCTCTTCCTGGGCTGTGGGCGTCCTCCCTGCTCAGTCGGATCCCCGCAGGGGTTCCCGTACCTTACATTACTAACGTCTGCCCCGCCTCCCCTCCTTTTTTGATAATGACCTTTGTCCCAGCCATAACCCCATGTCTCTCCCTTCACTGTCCTAAATACCTCAGCCAACCCATTCCAGGTCTGTGTTAACTTGCACTTTTCTCTTTTCTTCGTCCCTCTTCCTCCCGCAGAAAACCCTAGCTGAATTTAACCATGAACATACTTCCATCAACCCCTCCTGCATTAAAATGGACTCTAGGCCCTGGCTGGCGTAGCTCAGTGGATTGAGCGCAGGCTGCGAACCAAAGTGTTGCAGGTTCGATTCCCAGTCAGGGTACATGCCTGGGTTGCAGGCCATGACCCGCCAGCAACTGCACGTTGATGTTTCTCTCTCTCTCTATCTCCCTCCCTTCCCTCTCTAAAAATAAATAAATAAAATCTTTAAAAAAAAAAAAGGACTCTATAGTCTGGAAAGGTCACTTTCTCTCTGTGGGTCAGCCCACTATCATCCTGCTTCATGAAACATGCTCGATTAAATCCGTTTGTTCTCTGAACTCGGACCCATGCTTCACAGGACACCCGCCAGTGACCCTCACTGTCTCTAACACTGCAGCCTCTGGACTGCCTCAGCTCCCCAGAGCCTGCTGGAACATACACAGTCTCCTTCATTTGAAATACAAGGTATTTCAGATTTGTTCCTGTACAAAAACTCTTCTCAGCACCTAACCATTTGCATATCTCTCACTATTTCCAACTACCCATGGCTTTTCTGACCTCTTTCCTTTAGTTCACGCACCTTCCTCCATGCACCGAAGCTCTCTCACATCTTTGGAGATCAGTTAAACTGTCACATGTTTCAAATGTTTAATGATGTCCCCAGGCTGTTAATCCTGCACTCTCACACAGGCTGCTATTAAAAGTTACATTAAAGAGCCTATGGCATTGAGTTGTGATGTCATAGGTATATAAGTGGATCTCTCTCACACACACAGACTCTTTATTTAACTCCTACCCAATCAGCTATTGGAGAAAAAGGTCATGTCTCAGTCATCTTTTTAGCTAAGAGTCTGGCACCATAGTTTACACCTTTACACACAATGTTAACACGTACTGACATTTACTACGTTTGGAGGGAGTTTAAATTAAAACTGAGCAGATGAAAAGTCTTACTATCCATATGGTCATATATGGCCTTTACAGCTGAGTCTGTTCTTTCCTTCCTTGCCTGTGCCCCAAATAATTTTTGAACTCTCCAGTTTCTAATATTTGTGTACCTGTGAGCCTTTTCCAGACCATGTGTGGGACCCTCGCTTCACCCCGTTAATAAATCCCTTCCTCAAGAAAAGCTCAGAAACCCCTATCTTCATGAAGTTCACTTTCCAAAAATGTGCCCCTACCTCCATTTCCTATTACTTCCAACCAGTCATCTCAGAACATGTAACTGCCGCTTGCTTTTCCATGCATGACACCGGTCTGGCCGTGCCAGCACCCCCTTGCTGCCTATTTCCTGTCGGCTGAAGGTCGGCATAAGGCAGATTCATCCTTGGGGACCACTGCTGGAACCTCCTCATAACCCCCTTTCTTATTTAGTCAAAGTCTCCTGTCCAGTGCTTGAGACCTGGAGCTCCCTGCCCTGTCTCCCCCTCTGCTGTTCGCCACACTGCGTGTTCTGTGCGCCGGCCTGGCGCCCACACCGCTCCCCACTGTGGTTGGGGACCACTGTCGGTCCCCAGTCTGCCGGCAGTATTATCTTTTGAAATTCAGACTCAGTTGTGCTTAGTGTTATTTAATGATCTCTGTGCTTTTTTACCACCCCTGTTTTTTGCTTTGTTAGCACCTAAGGTAGCAGTTCTTACATTTTTTCCTCATGTAGCCCCCTTTGATGGGCATGGCCAGAAGCCCCCCAGAGTTTCTCCCCTGCTGCTTTCTTTGCACTGGCACAAAACACTTGTGCTGGTGTCCTCTCTTCTGTATGATTCTGACCCACAGTGGGGCGCGTAGGTTTAAAATAAGCTTTCGTGAGACTGCCTTTTAACCAGCTTACAGACTGCTACTGGGAACTACTACCCTAGACGCCAGTGTCGTATGTCGCATCTGATAATACAGAACAGTGCCAAGAGCAAGCACTGCTCCTGGAGTCACTGGCGGGAGCCGTATGCTTGTGCTGCCCACTGACGAGGCTGGCCTGTTCTTCCTCCTCCAGCCGCAGGCAGCTTTAGCTGCACCATGAAGTTCACTGTCCGGGACTGCGACCCTGACACTGGAACTCCAGCTGAGGAGGGGTATGAGGACGAGTATGTGGTGAGTCTCCCCTGGGCGGGGACCCCACGACACCTTTACACCACTGTCCTCTGCCTGAAAAGAGCATTTTTCTGGGAACACCTGACATGAACTTCAGGGGTTTTAGTTTTAGTCTGCTCAGGTCATAGCTGAGGAGGGCTGGGGCTGATCCTCCTCTGTGACGGGAGTGTGCAGTGCCTACGAGAAGTGAAGACTCACCACTCCCTGACCAAAACAGAACTCACCCTTTTTTGTGTCTTTATAATAGGAGTAATTACAAGGTGAAAATAAGTACATGATTTTCATTGAGATTAAGTTTTATTTAAAATATGGGGGGGTGGTTTTGATCGGCAGCTTTTAGTTGGCTTATAGTGTAGCTAAGCTACATCATGGACTGAAAAGCCTCCATAGAATGCAGGGGAAATTTTTAAGAAATATTGGCCTTTTAGTGAATGCTAAGTTCAGAAGGCCCTGTATGGCTTGAACTTGATGGTTAGGTGTGGAAATAGGAGTCCTTTGTACCCCCTGGGGTATAGGTGTTGATCTGAATGTGGCTCTCACCATATTTCTTGCTTTCCTTTGCTAAGGCCTACATCGTTAGAGCTGGCGAGACTACAGGGCTTCCCACTAGTTTGGTAACTGAGCGTGTCCCAGGCTGCACGGGATGTAATGCAGAGGCATAAAGCCCCACGAGTCAGCCCCTTCCATCTGTGTTCTGTGCTGAAAGGACCTTGGTTTGCTGACCTCTGCTTGTATCCGCTAGCTGGAAGACCTGGAAGTGAATCTGTCTGACCACATTCAGAAGGTTCTGAAGCCTAACTTTGCTGCTGCCTGGGAAGAAGTGGGAGATGCTTATGAGAAAGAGGAGACCTTTGCCCTCAGTTCTACCAAAACTCTCGAAGGTGAGGACAATTTTGCTAGCAGCATATTTATTGCCTCTCAGCAGTCTAAAAACCTAGTGGGAATACTTATTATTCCAGAGAACACTTCTCTTTAAATACTGCATAAACTAATTCACTTAAAAGGCCAGGACCCTGTCACCCTGTACCGTAACTGAGTTCATCAGTTCCCAGTCCAGTGGCTTTTGCCCACACACTGCCCCGCTAGCACAGCCCCTACCAGGGCAGGGGCCGGGCCCTGTGCTGGCCTGGTCTGATCCTGCTGCATCCCTCTTGCCAACACAGAAGCTGTCAACAACATCATCACATTCCTGGGCATGCAGCCATGTGAGAGGTCAGACAAAGTACCCGAGAACAAGAACTCCCACTCCCTCTATCTGGCAGGTAAGAAACTTCCATTGGGTTTCCCCTTTATCTCCTTGCAGAATTTGATAGGAAGGGATATGCATGGGCATCTCGTGCCCTGCTGTTGTCCCACTGTGTGAGCTACAGTTTGAAGCTCTGTTGAAAGCAGTAATTTGTTTTAGCTATTTGCCTAATTGATTGACATGCTGTCCTTACATTGTTCTCTTCAGTTACATATTTGGCCTAAAACATTTACTTAAATCTGTCCCACAGATACCAGTGCTGCCACCTCCCCCAGTTTGAGTCAGTACCCTTGAATGCCTTCTATGTACCTGGTATCATGGGAATATAAAAGACTACTTCGAGTTTGTATGTAGGACTCAGTCCCCACCGTAAATACACATCTCTAGAAAAGCTAGGCTAAAACAATAGAAAGGAAGCGCAGGCAGAGCACGATAAAACTCACTAGGCACAGCTTGTCCTGTTCTTACTATGGTTTTCCTCACTCTTTTCTCCAAGGTGTGTACAGAGGTGGCTATGATTTACTGGTAAGGTCCAGGCTGGCCTTAGCAGATGGCGTGACCATGCAGGTGACTGTCAGAAGCACAGAGGAAACACCTGTAGATGTTATCTTGGCTTCTGTTGGATAAGTTTTTACTGGGCAAGATGACGTTGATGCACTTCACTGTCAGCGGGCTTTCAGGCTAGTGGCATGAATTTCCCAGAATCATACTTTCAAAGATTATGATTTTGGAGAAGCAAATTAAATGTGTGGCCCTGAGCCAGCAGATCAAGCCAGTGTCTGTCCTCGTGCATGTCTTTGTTCTGTTTCCCCTTCTGTACACTGGTCAGCTCTGGTGTGACAGTGCGTCTCTGGGTGAACTGAAAAAGCAAATACTGCCCTGTGTCCCAGCTGCTTAATTTCATTATATTCTTTAATTTAATGTGTCTGAAAGCTCCTGGCAATGTTGGAAAGCTTTTATCCCAGAGGGGTGGTGGGGGAGGGGAAGGCAGAGTCCGCTTTTGTCAAAAGTCATTTTTATTAATAGAAAATAAACACTTATTCCACTTTCAGTTGTTATACTTGAAGTTGCTAATTTTAAAAAGAAGAATTTAAAATAATCACTTAATAATACTGTTTGGACCTAAACAATGAAATCTGTGGCTTTAAAAAAAAAAGGATTCAGCACCATTTGCTCATAGGCCTTTCAGAATTTGCTCTTAAAGTTTCTGGAACGTTCCTGTCTGTAAAGTACAGGAATTGAGGAGCTACATAAGGAGGCCTCTCTGGGACAACCAGGGAGGAGCCAGGCAATCAGAAATCAGTGTCCACTCAGCACGGTCACTTGGACTGTACGACGCTCCCCTCCCCTCCACGCTAGTGCAGGAGGGACATGCTTCAAAGCACTGAGGTATGCGAGTCAGACTTATTTGCTGTTAAAATGGGCCTTCCCAGCTAATAACAGTAAACCTCTGGCATAGATGCTGTTGGTCTTTAATGTCCTGTGAGTTTTAAGAAATTTTGTAAATAGTTTGGATTGAGTTCAACTTACTCAGAAGTTAACTGTGTTTAATAAGGTTCACTATGCTGCCAGAGTAAGTGTCTGCTGGTTTAGTACCCTCCTACAATATACATAATATGTGTAAGTAAATCATAGTCTTAAAGTATACTTAGAATACTGCATCATTAAACAAAAGTCTTAAGAATACTGCATCATTAAACAAAAGTCTTAGAATACTGCATCATTTAAACAAAAATCTATGTTGACACAATGTCTATACTTAGATACGACTGATGAAACTAATTCAAAGTTAGGACAAGGGAGACTCATCTCCCTGGAAGCTGTGCTGCTTAGAAAACGTGAAAAAGCAAGTGCCCTCAAAGCCATCCAAGGAGAGGTGAGCAGGCACCGTCTCCTCGTCCTTTACTGTAAGATTCAAACTGGGGCTTGGCCAGACACGAGCACTACTAAATATTTCAGCAAAGTCCACAGAAATATCAAGACTTTTGTGCAAAAGCATGTCTGTCTGTCTGCAACTGTGAGTAGGAGTGCTCAGTGGAACTTCCTAACAACACAAAGTCCATACACTTGATCGGATGTCAGAGGAACGGGAGGTGGACTACTCAGTCGCCCTTAGTCGGAGCTTCTACTGGCTTTTTACTGTATGCTGTTCACCAGTGTGAGTCAGGTGGACCTTTGTGAGAGAAGAGTGTTTGGTGGCCAGGACCTCTTTTGGGCATTTCTTTCTAAATGGAATACACAACAGGTAAGGGAACGGGGGAGGTAATACAGGGAAGCTACTCTCTCCAGCTCAGAAGGAGTTGATGAAGCCCATATATGCATTCAAGAAGCCCATGGGATCCTCTAGCTGTGGGTAGTGGCTAATGTGGTCATCCAGAATCGACACTGTGGACCGCGGCAGCGTTTTCCTAGTGGAAGAGAACAGCATGGAGGTGAACTTGAGGCTGCAGGGAGGGGGGAGGTAAGCCAGTAGGCAGTCCCAGTGAGTGCCCCTGTGGATATACCACACGGGAGGGAACCAGCAAAGAGCTTATTCAGCTTCTACTTTGGAATTGTATCTTGAGTGGATGAGCTTGCCGGCCCCATGTATGACATACACACACTGGGTTTGAAATGTCCACAATCCAACAGACAACAACTTGAAAATAGAACACTTTGGCAACACATGTCAGAGTGGGGTGACTTCAAGCTCCCTAGAGAAGCATGAGGCATCCAACAAGCAGACCACTGTCCCAGTAAAGATAACAAAAAACCTTCCTTAACCCTGGGAGGCAATGGGCGAGGGTATTTGGTGGAACATTAAATGCCAGCTATTTACCATTGGGTTGTTTCTACTAGGCCATGTGAAGGTATGGAACAGTCTCCTGTGACAAAGTCAGTCAAGATTTCATTTTCCAACCTTCCGAGTAAGCACCTAGAGAAAGTAACCACCGATGCGGAGGCCCCTCCCACAGTGAGTTCTTCTCAGCCTCTCCCTGCAGTTGCTCAGCTGAGGCTGACCAGCTGGCTTTGCAGTCAACTAGAGCAAACATGTCCTGTGACCTGTACGCACTCCCATTCCTCAGTTCACATGACAGCATTTCCTTACCTGTGCACCTAGGAATGCGTAGTAACCATGACAGTGAGAAATAGACTATATGAATCGAGAGCATGTGTAACAATTTCCTGATGTTTACATTCATGTGAGAATAAGATTCCCCAGTTCATCCTTGACTGTGTGTTCCTGGATGAACAGCCAGTGAGGTCAGTGATAGTGGTGAGAGCACTGTCGGGCCGAGGGAGACTCACCTGTACAGCTCCAAAAACTCCGGGTAGGGATTCACCGGGTCCAGGGGCCCGTAGATAAAATGAACTAGGAAAGGGAAGAGGCACAAATTACTCACAGCTCTGACCTGCTCTACCCCCACGCTAAAATTCCCCCTCCCAAAAATGTTTTCTTTAAAGAAACTGTTTTATGATAGAAAATTTAGCTTCTTTCAGTAAGTACGTTCTAAGAAACTTCTGAGAATAGGCTGACAGCTGAGTCCATTTGGGCCATTTTCTTCTATAAACAGCCCCCCTTCAGCCCTGCAGCTTTCTCTCGCTCTAAACCCAGGTGCTGTCCTTCTCGAAGTCTCTGTCTCCAGTAGTAACTGGCCCTTGACGCTTGAAGTCAACTATTTTCTGAGCACTAACTACAACATTACGTGTGAGGCACAGCACCGACTTTTTTCCTTTTTTAAATCTGTAAGAATGAAGAGACAAATGAGCAAAAATCACCTATAGCCTCTTGACTACTCATCTAAACAGCCTCCCGTCCCAGAATTCAGCATTTGACAGGGCCCCCCCGGGAAGGGCCCAGCACAGAAACCAGCCCAGCCCCCGCTCCCGGCAACGAGGGCAGCTGCCTGCGCAGAGTTTCGCAGGGTTTCGTAGACTTCACTCTGTAGGACGTCGCTGGCGTGCCAGATGGGGGGAGGTTCGCCAGCTTCCATGAAGGGTGACCAGTTCAATTTGAAAAGGGTTTTTTTTTTTCCCTACTATCAGCATGTCTCAAATATTGCACAGCACATACTTTGCCCACCCCTCAAAAGTATGTTATGTTTTTGAAATTCAAGTTTAGCTTGCTGTCTTTGTTACATTTTTAGTTGCTAAATCTGGCAATTATTTTAACCCCAGAGTCCCTCAGTTTTCCTATCAAAATGTAATACAGAAATACTCACTAGGAATAGTGACCGAGGCCAGAGCTCCCACCCAGCGTCTTCTGAACTTCTTCCTCTGGTTGATGTACTGTAAGAGACTGCACAGCACAGGTAAGTCAGCAGGAGCAGATCAGGCAACCCTGATTGTGAGAGGGATGCAAAGGCCTGACACGAGCTTCAGGGGGACCCAATATACACTGTCTGAATCCGCAAGCAACTCGGCACTCCTGGGGTTAGCCCGCTGCCTTCACCCATCTCCGTTAACCCCCAGGTAGCTACAGCGGCGACCAGGCCTGCCGTCCACGTAAGAATTAATGTTTCTCTGTGCCTGTGAAACAGGAAGTGAGGTCTAGGGAGGCTGCAAATTAGTTTGGGTTACATGTAACAGAAGCCCAGGTTCGCATTGTGCCTCCACCAGTAATTAACTTAAAGGGCTAAACACATGGTTTGACCATTTTCCTCCTGTTTAAAATAAGAGGACTGAACTACATGGTCTCTAAATCGACATCCACTTCTAAAATTCTAACTGTACAGGAGCACGCGCACAAAGCTACAGTCTCCGCTTTCCATCTGACCACAGATGAAGTGGAGAGTGTCTCCTGCCATAGCCACACTTTACATCTCGAACTCGTGTATTCTGATTATTGTGCCTGGAAACTCTGGGAGTTACAGCCTTCAACTGTCGCCTCTTAGAAGTGGTGCTTATGTTTTGGAAAGGAAAGTATGTGGGAATTTTTAAAAGAGGGTTTTGTTTTGCCACTTTTTACTTTAAAATGAATCTGTGGGATCCTGTGGGGGCTGGGGTGGGAGGGAGGAATGGCCCTCTCTCCCTCACAATTCCCAGCAAAGCCATCCATCAGCTAAAGCAATGGAAGCTCCAGTGACCCAGCTGGCCAAGGACAGGGCCTCATCACGAGTAGTAATGATGTCACCATGTCCAGGGCCCTCTGTGAAGGCAGCATGTGAACCAAGTGTCCATCTCTTTCCTCTCAGAGTGTGGCCTTTTTTGGTGTGCCTCATTAAGTCATAACCAACCTTCCCGTGAGACGGCAGAGCCAGCCAGGAACGGAATAAGCAGTCCTCTCTTTCCCCATGTTCAAAAAAAAAAAACAAAAAAAAAAAACAGCCTGTCCGGAAACCAAAGCGAAGTTCTCTCACCTGTCGATAACTAAGTTCCCATCATTGTTGCGTATCCCTGCCCACATGTCCCACAGCTCGCTCTCAGACGGCCGGGTGTATGGCCCAAAGACGGGGGTGAGGCTGAAAGAGTCCAAAAAAGGCAGAGAGATATATGAGAATAATGCAGAGTGTCCAAGGTGATTGGAACCTCAAAGGTCTCGCAGTCTGACCCTGAACTGATTCATGAAGTCCTACTCCTTCCCTGGCAAGTGGCCAACACCTTTGCTTTAAAACATCAAACCCTAGGATTTGGCACAGAATTTTAACGGCAGCAGCTTTTCACTGCGCTGCTTGCTACCGGGCAGGAAATCACCCTTTGACAACGACTTACCCTCGAGAGAATACAAAGAAGTTCATCAGTCGTGTGAGGATGGGTGACAGCACGCCTCCGTCTTTGAGGAGCTAAAGGTGAACAAGTAAAAGTCAGGAATCCAGAGAGAGAAAGACAACCAACCCGCAGAAAAGGTTTTACATTAAAAACGAAGAAAAAGGCTTAGCCAAGTCTCCCACTGACGGGTTCAGTCGTTGGCTTTTTTTGCTTTGTTTTGCCTATGCTTCTCTGATGGAAGGCACACGTATTTCTAATTCCTTTTAAGATTACATTTCTACAGGTCACGAAATCCCTAAGATTTTTAACTGATATATTCAACTTTAGACTAGGATCCCTGCCTGTTCCAACATCAAGCTGATGGCACAAACCTTCACGAAGCTGCACTGCTCCAAACACTTGTTGATCTCTCATTCTCAAAGTATCAGGCTTTAGGTAGGGGCCACTGCTGCTGCTTTATTTGCATAAGAAGGAAAAAAACTAACTTTGTTAATGTAGATTGATGATCAGGATTTTAACTATAGCCTTTTACAGCAGAAATGACCCTTTTAAAGGTCCTGACACTATTTATGTCACTATAAATCTTAAGGACTAATGATCTAGCCATTGGAGCAGCCAACCTTTTGGAGAAGCAGAGGACGATGGGTCTCAGGAAATATACCTGCAGGAAAAGAAGAGAGCAACATCAGTCATCTTCTGACACCTTGAGGGCAGACGCAGGCCCGTTACTGGACACCATCCGCCCTGCTCGCTGTCGCCTTTCGGTCCTTCACTGCTAAAAAATGAATTGCAAATAAAAACTGAGCACTGTCATCTAATTCCTCCTCTGTGGAATTCTGTGTTTAACAGGTCAAATCATATCCTATTGGGATCCTTTCCAGATTGTAAAGGTAGAGAAACGGGAAAAATAATGTATACAGTGACTGATACTGCTGATGATTTTGCATTTCCTCCCATTCCTCAGATCACAGTGTTATTAAGGGTCTGGGCAGCCGAAGAAACCAGAGATTTTTCAGGAAATGTAGGTCCAAAAACCACCCCGCCAAATCCAGATTTTTCCTTTGCCATTTTTTGCCAGAGTTAATGGGAGAAAGCCATAAGCAATGCTTATAAATGGCACAGACTTCTCTCCCCGACTGCCCTTGGGTATTCAGGGGATCTTTGGAGGTTGGTGGATTTACAAGCCAAGATCAATGGCATGCTAGGAGAAAGAAACATCTCTAAAAGGTGTGGTAATCAAGTGTTCACTAATTTGTAACTGAAACTTGGCATGGCCATCAATTAAGAGATTACGAAACCACAGTAGTACTAGAAGCACCTGTGGCGTCATCGAGTATTTTCACACCCCACTGCAGCTGTTGTGGAGTATTTACACTCCTCGCTGCTGCTGCTGCTGCTGCTGCTACTTGTTGTTACTAGACCCACCACCAGACCTTGCTATGATGCATTTAAAAAGCACAGTATTATTGTGCTTATAACACAGCCTTTTATTAACTGTCATTCTAGTCAGTTTACTTTGTAATCCAATTTTTTTTAAGACTTAAGAAACACCATCTTGAGAAGGGGTCAATATTGTCTCATCAGACTACCTAAGTGATTAACGGCACAAAAGATAAAGATCCCTGGTTAAACCGTGTCCCTTTGCAATGCCATCAGATTATCATGTAGATGTCACTGATACGTCAATGTGCCTACATCACCTTCCCCCCACCGCCCAGGCAATTACCTCCATTTGACAGGCAGAGACTCTTTATGGTAAGCCGACCGGATCGATTCTGCTTGAACCTAGAAACAGGAGGCAAATGCATCTGACTGAGTGGACCCGCACCAGTGCAGCGGCTGAAGACAAACTTCCAAGAAGCAAAGGGCTACTAAGAACCCAGGAACAATTCACTTTTCCTGGCCCTTTAAATGAGTAGCCCTGTGACTAGTCCACAGGTCTGTGGCCTCACTGACCTGTAGAGAAGCTCCTGAGCGACGATATCTCCATAATCGTGAGACAAAAGGTTGACCCTACGGTTCTGGAGCCCCAGATGCCGCAGCAGGGCCTCCACGATGCTGGCCTGCTCGAATATGGAGTAGTGGTGCGGTCTCTAAGGGAAGGAAAGCGCATGTGCATGAGATGCAGTCAGGAGTGCAGGTCCGCCTGCCACCCTGACCCCTCCATCTCGTCCACCCCCGGCCCTTGTCCACCTGGTCCCGTCCAGATGCCGCTTACCGGTTTGTCGCTAAAGCCAAAGCCTAAGAAGTCGAGGGCAATCACTCGATGGAATCTCAGCGTCAGACCTTCCCAAATCTACAAGAAAGAAAAGGATGATTTGGACTTTTTCATCCAGCCCTTCCCCTCCCACCTCAGCAGCATATGGGTTTCATCCCTTCCTCAGCCTAATGAACAGACTTCAGTACGGGGAAAATCCACATGAAACCATCGCTGGCCCGCAGCTGAGCCTCTTGCAAAGTGCTGTATTCCTAATAATTCGTCTCTACTGAGGGAGAGACTCCAGCATTTTTCACTTGGCAAGGGTCCTTCCCACACTGCCAGTTTCCCACTCCCTTACCATAAATGAAAACCGGTTTTACATTTAATCCTATTTTATGAAGCAATTCAAATGTACGAGAACCTTTCGGTGCTCCTGACGGAATTCTTGATTTCGGATTTTTAAAGACATGGTAGGCCTAGAAATTCTGAGTTCATTACCTTATACCAGTCATAGCTGGATGTCGGGAAGCCATGTAACAGCACGACTATCTCTGGACTTCCAACCACACCCACGGAGTCTGGGAAGAAGGAGAGAGATCCGTTAGCCAAGCCCTATGAAAACAGCCTCGACGATACTAAAGTCTAAGTAATCTGGTGTAAAGCACAAGAAATCCTGCTCAAGTTCATGAAATTTAAAAGTAGGTTTCTTTTTAAAATGCAAGCTTATTGCTTTAGATAAAAACAGGCATTTGATTTTTAAAAATCTGTATATCAAAAAAATTGTAAATAGCACACTTTGTATGAAAATACTTAAAGGGAGTCTGCTTAATTTCACCAAGGTTTTTTTTAAGCATTTCTCCCATTATTGTATATTATTGCTTTTGTACTAAAAATTAAACTTGCAGTTTAATAATAGTTAAATGTATATACGATCATAATATATATAAACTACAAATTCTTTGCACCTTATCATTAATGGCCTCACAAAAATTCTCTAAAATATGGCAACTCTTCTTCACCCTTGAGAGTACCTTAATTAATACTGTTCGTCCCACACTGTGATTTCACACAGAGGAGATAATATCAAAATCCAGTATTGAAAGCATCGAGCTCAAACTACTGCAAAATCCTAACTATAAAAAATTATTAATCAATACAGACATGAACATTTTTAATGGGTAAACATCTTTTAAATTATCCAACCAGTTAAATAGAACGGGTTTTTTTTTTTCAGATTTTTTTTTTTTTTTAATGGAAAGGAAGGGAGGGAAAAAGAGGGAGAGAAACATCGATCAGTTACTTCTCATACATGCCCCGACCACCGACTGAACCCACAACCCAGGCATGTGCCTTGACTGGGAATTGAACTGGTGACTTTTCCCTTTGCAGGACAAGGCCCAACCAACTGAGCAGCACTGGTTGGGGCTAAAGAGTAGAATGTCTTTCTAATACTAGATTAAAACTGATACCTTCAAATACTGCAAATGGTGTGAGAATTCCAAAATAAGGTTTGCAAAATAATTTAGAAGCAATTTAAAATTTTATAGATTTTTGCCTACACGTCTTATTCTTAGAATCCATTCAAATAAAATCTTTCTATTTACAAATAATATAGTTCAAAAATTTAAGGGTAAAATAAACATGTAAAGATTTCCCTTTGACATTAACTAGAACATTGAAAAACTGGAAGCAATCTAAACGACCAACATAGAGAAAACTATATACTTACTTAATTGAATATAGCAAATGAGAGGAGGTCAGGAGCAATAATGAAAAACGGTTTTATGACAAACATTTTTCGTTATTGCTCTTGACTCCCGCCCAAAAGAAATCTTTTCCTATTCCTTTCTCAGGTTCTTTACCTGCAAAAATGAGGTTAATGGCACCTATCTCCAAGTACTGTTAGAGAGATTACATGAAATCATAAAGATTGAAAATATAATTCAATGTCTAGCATATGATAATTACTTGATAAGCAGTCATAATAATTATCATTAGCAAATTAATTTATACAAAGGCACAAAAGACTTTAATCACAGTTAGTTAGGGATATAACAATCTTTATAAAAAGCAAAAAAAAATGAAATCAGTAATTTGGGGCAGGGGACAAAGCCAATGGTAGCTTTATCTATGAACAATGTCTATATTGCCGAGGGCCAGGGCGCTCCAAACAAAAATACCAATCAGGCTATGAAAATATATGTACACTGAACACTGGAATCTCAATTTCATCAGCCCCTCCCTCTCAGCGGTTTTCTGTTGTTTTTGTTTAAATCCTCGCCTGAGGACAGGCTTAGTGATTTTAGAAAGGAGGGAAGGGAGAGAGAGGCAGAAGCACCAATTGTTTGCCTCACACGTGCCCTGACCAGGGATTGAACCCATGACCTTCTGGTTACGGGACAATGCTCCAACTACCTGAGCCATCTGGCAAGGGCCGGGCGTTTGCTTTGGGCTTTCCTTATGTGAAGGGGGGTTTAGTCCAGTCTTTCAAGCACACTTCCTAGAAAAAGGGGGGCCCCCGGCCATCACTGAGGGCCAACAGAGGCCAATGGACACAAAATAAGCACTTCGGGGGCCTATACACGCAGGCTATTCCAACAGTCTTACCTTGGTAAAAGATGCGCAGGCCCTTATAGGTGAAAAATTTGCCCGATGACTTCCAGGAGTGAAGAGCAGGGGAGAGCTGGGGAGGTGGGATATGGAGATAGGCTGCAAGCAGGGGCACCGCCAGCAGCCCCACCTGCACCCACCACTCCCTCATCCTGTAGGGAAATCAGAGACCAGGTAAGCAGTCAGGTGACACTGGACACGTCTGCAACCCCCGAGCTGGTGAGATAGGGTGGGAAATTGCTGTACCACGTGGTGACCTCCTAGGATGTGAACCATGGCGGAAAATTTTCCAAGGAGAACATAAGAGCATCTCTGCCTGTTACAGCAATTGCCATGTTTGCTCACCATTCTAATTTTCAGGAAAAAAATACATTATTTTAATATGAAATCTTCCTTTCTTCCCACTTTAACCCTCAGCCCCTCCCCTTGCGCTGTTCCTGAGACCTGAAGAGGTTTCCACGTGAAGTAGAAGGGGTCTGGGAGGGGCTGCAGTGCCCCTTTCCACTGGCTTCCACCAGGGCTTCCTGGGGGGATAACTGCCTTCCCATGTAGTCTGAGAGCTCTGCCACCACCAGAAAAAATATTGTGTCTTTTAACTAGTGTTTTAAAATATACATGTGTCTCTGTGAGGGCATAGTAATATCACATGACCTTCAGCAGAGATCTGCTCTCAATTTTTTCACATTTATCCCCCTGCTGGCCCCCGTGAAGCCCCCTTCGGTACTACTACCTGGACTTGTGTTGAGCAACTGCTCGGGGTGTGGAGTGCGTGAAAGCAGGAAGCTGGGTGCGCTGTGTTGCCAACATAAGCCGCCTCGTGACCCTGAATGTCTAATCTCTGGCGAGGTCAGGCAGAACAGCAGGTTCCAGTTCTGCTTTTCTTAGCAGATTCTTGAGGAAGCCCCCATTTATTTAATTTCTTAGGACTCCCTTCTCACCCGCCCCCCCACCAAAAAAGGTGGGGCTCACGCACAACACCTGGGAATTGATTTTGCTATTGGAAGGAGAGCATGGTTTGCACAGCCAACCTTCCCGTGCCCAGGACTTCCAAGGTCTAGGCTAATCTGTCCTTAATGACAACGAGTGCCAAAACAGTTCCCCCTGCTTCTATCTTATCACTCCTGATGGCCGCCAGGGAAAGGATCAGCAGTAGAATGGAAGTTCTCTCAAAACGGCCGAAGTTGAAACTAAAATTAAAAAAAAAGAAATCTATAAGAGAAATGAATAGTCGAAGCCCTGGTGGAAACCGCTGTGTCTGAACACACCCCTTCCACCATATTCCCTCTGATCTGGCCACAACCCTGCCCATCACGAAATAATTATTTTAATGCTAAAACAAACCTGTGCTTCCACGGTGTTAAAACCACCACATCCCTTAAAGAATAGAAGCTCTTTTGCCTCTTTTTTAGGTACCACTACAGCAGTCTTTCTTCCCCTCTGACGTACCTGTCCTCAAGGCAAACCCCACCAGTGATTTGATTCTACCTTTCAAAGCAATATTAGGAAGTGATTCAAAAAATGTCTGGAATGTGCTGATTATATCTCAATTTTCACCCCACCAATAGTACCAGGCATCATCCCACTATCTCTTTGAAAGATGAGATGACAAAAAGCATTAGGTTTAGATTGTCATTTTCTCAGAGCTATCTAATATACTCCAGCTCAGGCATTTTCAGGGTCGCATTTCATCACGCCTTATCCCCCGCTTCTCCTTTCTTCATTCAGGTCCCAGCAGCCTGCTATCTGCAATGACTCAGCAGAGAGCCAGGGAGGGGTTACTGAAGGAGCAAGCTGGACCACCCCCACCCAGTGTGTGTTTTGGGGGGTGGGGGGGCATCCATACTCTGCTCCTGGACACCCCCACCTTTCTCACCTTCCTCCCCCCCTTCACTATAAGAAAGCTCGAGGCCACCCCCCAGGAAGCCGTTTTCTGTCTTTATCATCTCAGGAAAAATGCCCCAAAGGACGTTTCAGGATTTTTTAGTAGGGATGTTGGTAACCAAAATGGATTCAGCATTTTTTACCAAAATCTCCATGATTTGAGGAGGGATGAGTCAAGAGAATAAATATGGCAAACCCCAGTACAAACCTTCTGGAAATTAACCTTCCCCAGCCCTGATTTCTTCAGCTTGTAAATGGGAAAAAATCCGTTTAATACCACCAAACCTGCCCACCTTACGGCATCTCATGAGACTAGGAACTACTTTGTAAACCAATACCAACAATTCATATGTAACGTGATGATCAGTCACATCATCCTTCTCAGTTTTGCTTTTTGTTACTGAAATCTCAAAAATACTTACGCTCGGTGATAATAAGCAAACGCAAGTTCTAGTCACACCTATGCAGTAACTCACGCCACGGCGACACCAGGGACCTCAAATCCTAAACTGCGCCACAGCAATACAGGAATCTTGAAATTCTAAATTGCGCCAGGGTGATATCCAATGTTAAAACCCTAAATCGCGCCAAGGTAAAACCCAGGTCTAGAAATCCTAAATTGCGCCACAGCAATACCCGGGTCTTAAAATCCTAATCGCAATTCAATACCGGAGTCTTGAAATTCTAAATCACGCCAAGGCAACTCGGGAGTCTGAAAAATCCTCAGTTGTGCCGGGGTGATAGCCAGTGTTAAAATCCTAAATCGCAGGGAGATGAAACCTGAGTCTAGAATTCTGAGATCACACTAGGGCGACGCCGGGGTCTAAAAATCCTAAACCGCGCCACAGCGACGCCCGGGTCTAAAAATCCTAAATCGCCCCAGGGCGATGCCGGGGTCTAAAAATCCTAAATCGCGCCAGGGCGACGCCCGGGTCTAAAAATCCTAAACCGCGCCACGGCAACGCCGGGGTCTAAGAATCCTATACCGCGCCACGGCGACGCTGGGTCTAAAAATCCTAAATCGCATCAGAGTGAAGCCGGGGTTCAGAAACCCTAAATCACACCAGTGCAATATGGGTGTCTAGAAATTGTAAATCACATCAGAGCGATGCTGGGGTCTAAAAATCCTAGAGTGCATCGGAGGCAAAACCAGGGTCTGGAAATCCTTAGTCGCGCTAGGACAATGCTGGGGTCTAACAAATATTAAATAGGGCCAGGGTGGCGCGCCGGGGTTCTAGAAATCCTAAATCAGGGAGATCCCGACTTCTACTGCGGGCAGAAGTGGCTTCCCCTCCCAAGGAGATATAAAGTCCGAGGGCCTGCCGCCCAGGCCCCCATGGGGTTTTTCCCTCCACTGCGGAGTCGCGGTCCAGCACCCCAAGCTCGGACACGCAGAGTACCCACCCGCTAGCCAGCACCCCAGGGCCAGACGGCGGCCCAGAGCCAGCCACACCCCCTAGCAGCGGCCGCGCGCACCCACCTGCGGAGGCGATCTCGGCGCACCATGGTTGCGTCTTATCCCATGCCGTACGGTGCACCGACTCGGAGCACAGGGGCACCGAGGCGCCCGCAGCCACGCAGGGCAGCCACAGCCCGCGAGGGCGGCGCCGGCCGCGGCAAGCAGCGATCGGCCACTCGGGCGTGCGCTGCGGCACTGCGCGAGGCGCGACTGCCGCAGAGGAGGCGCCGGGATGCGCTGGTTGCCGCGGCAGCGCAGAGCCAGTGGGCACCGTCTTTTAGAGACCACCCGCGCCCCGCCCCTGGCCCGCCCACAGCGCCGCAGTGTCCCTCCCACCGCAGCGTCCCTCCCTCCCTGCAGCCCCCGTGGCCGCTGCTGCAGAGACAGTGTGTAGTTCTCAGAAGCTCCTCTAGGGGGCACCTTCAGGGCGTTGACCCCCACTAACACCCTGCTGCTCCCTCGCGGCCCCCCAACCCTGGGCTCCACGTTCTATAGCAGAAGCTCTTCTGGCAAGTTAACGCCGCCGGAAAATACAACAGATCCCTGAAATCCTAACCCTTTCCTTGGACAACCCAATGCCCCCCCACTACCACCTCGCAACCTCAGAAGGGTCCATTAGACCTCAGGTGTGGCACCTGCTCGCATCCGGCGCCATGCCCAAGGCATGGGTTCTGAACTACGCGAGCGCCCAATTTGAAGCAGCAGTCCATGAGTGTCCCACCCCTCCTAGATCCCTAACTGTGGGTGAGGGCACAAACAAGTGGCTAAGGAACGACAAGCTCTGCTGAAGGTTCCACCCGGGTAGTCGCCTGATTAATGGGATGGCTGCTTCGGAGCTAAAAGGTCATAACTAGCGGAACGCCTGAGTCTCTCGCTCTGCCACTGGACACGTTTCCTTTGCAGCAGCGCAACGTGGGCCTTGTACCAGAGCCCAGCCACAGCCCTCCCGCGGCCCCCGCTCGCAGCAAAAGACCCGTCCCGCTCCAGAATTAATGATCATCACAGTTATGAGACCAAAGTTCCCCTTTATATAAGATTGAATTCACAATGCAAAGGCCCCAGTGGTACAGAAAAGTGGGAAGGATTTTTTTCTTCATCCATAATCGTTTAAAAGGCATCTATTACGCCTTTGAAAATAAAAGCGTAGAGAATCACAGTGTCTGTGTTCATTTGCTGGCTGTAAATTGAAATTCTGAGGAACGCACGCAGGCTGCGAACGAGCCAGGCAGCCCGAGCAGTGCCGGCTCCCTCCAGCAGGGGCGCTGCAGGTCTCTCTTCTCTCGCGCCTACCTGCCACTCAGCCCAGAGCACAGACAAGCGCTGATGGCAGAGGCCGACCCAGCAGAGCTCACCCTTCACGGTGCACCAGGGAGCGAGGGCCACCAACCACATATGGAAGAAACCACCATCTATGAGCATATCATCAAAACATGTGGCTCAATCCAAGGTACACTTCTACTGGTGTACAATTAAGGGGGTCGTGAAACGAATGCTTATTTAGCACCTACAATCCGCTAAGAGGCAGGGATACAAACATGGACGAGAATGGCCCCCGCCCCAGAGCAAGAGGCTAACCATCCGGTGGGGAAGACAGACGAGAACCGATGCGGCTTAAATTTTCCCTTTAATTTCCTGGCTACATCTTGTGACAGATTGGCCCCCTCCCCCAAACATGTAAGGCCCTCAAAGGCTGAACCGAAGTATTATTCAACTTTTGTGTCTCCAGAGCCCGCCACAGTGCCGGCCACAAAGCAGGCCCCTAATAAATACTGCATGAATAAGTACAAGAATTTGAGGGCGCACAGAGGAGGAAGTAATTAAGGGCAGGGGGGAAGGGAAAGGGTTGTCTTGAATGATGAATAGACATTTACCAGGGAGACAAAGAGCATTCCAACCAGAGGGGACGGCATTCGCAAAGCACGGGAGGCGCAGGGCTGCACAACCTTTGGGGAAAACTGCCAGTCCTTTGGGCTGGGGCGCTGACCGAAAAAAAATTAGGCTAGAAAGAGTATTTCATCCTAAAGAGTTTGGAATTTGCCCTAAAGAAAATGAAAAGCCACAGATGGGTTTAGACCCTTTATGGCCTTAATTGGTTACTTAACAAAATTTAAATTAGTCCCTTTACAAATGGAGGATTACCTATTTTAACTAAGCACCACCTTTAAAGGATTGAATTACTTTGCAAAAATTTAAATTGGTCCTTTCAACGGAGTAAAGGCTTTCCAATTTTAACTAAGACGACAATAGTGACAACATTTGCATTACATTTTTTCATAGTTATTGTCAATGGGAACTATGAATCCTACAAACAATTCTGCACTTTCATTGGCCCCACGCCAGAAGCACCGCATCCAAGATGAAGGCAATTTTGTATTTAATGGACTGAGTGAGTGCTCACAAAAGATCTGATTCTGAAAGAGAGGGAACATGTCTACTCACACAGAACAAGCAGGCAGACAGGAGGGAGACCTGGGCAGAGGGGGCCAAGGGAAGCTCTTGGAGGCAATGGAAATTCTAACTCAAACACATCCCCCGCCCCCAGACAAAATAGCTAGGAAAATCTTCCTTGGAAAAGGACTTTGACCCCAGAACTTAGAGGAAGAAGCAGTCCTGCCCAGAAGAACCACCAGTGAAGACACTAGGAGTCCAAAAAAGGCCAAGGACAGCAGATAGAGATCAGCTTGGCTAAAGGCAGGAATTTGCTTTGAAAATGCCAGCGATCAGGCCTCAAGAGCCAAAGGAGTCATGAATTTTGTAAGAGTGCCTGCCTGACTTCCAAAGAGAAGCTTCCTCAAATGGTGTAAAACCCTTGGAGCGCCTGAGCACATGGGCACCCGCTGGAAAGTCCGATGCCAGCCCCTGACTCGTTCTCTTTCAAAGGTTGGCTACTGACATTGCACTTGACTGACCTCACAAGCAGCAGCATTCCCTCAACCAGTAGCTTATCGTAGGCTCCTGTCCAGTTCCAAGACAGTCCCACACAATAAGACCTCGAATCAGTCTTCGACAGTCCCACAAAATAAGACCAAACATCAGCGCAGAGAGCTTGGCATTCATGAGGTCGCTGGTATACCGTGGCAAGAGGAAATCAGCAGGGCTGGGACCTTGGGTTCAATCATCATATTTTTCTAACCCCTGTATGAGACTCATAATTTGATAAGCACAAGGATATTTATGGAGACAACGGGACAAAACTGGGACTGCCACTTTCAGGAGCCATAGTCACCCATTCAGATAATCTAAAGAAATTCAAGATGGGAAAAACTTGGTTGAACAGCAGCACGTGTTAAAGAGACTTAGGGTTTCAGTTGATGTGGGTCTATGTGATGTTTCCAAAGAAGCTATTGTGGGTTAGAGAGGTACCTGGCATAAACAAATCCTGCTCTATTCTGCTAGTTAGACCCCACAATAAGTATTTTATTCTGCTCTACAGAGCAGACATCAAGGGACACACAAACGAACAGGAATTCGTTCGGAGAAGATCAATTAAAATGCGCTGCCAATTATGTCAATGAATGTGTAAAAGTCCTCATATTTTAAGCTGCTACTACAGCTTAATTTATCCCCGAGTTATCCAATTTATCCCTGATTCTCACAATAACGTGGTTAGATGAGTATTACTTCCACCTCTTTCAGAGAAGACGCAGCAGCTCGCAGCCCTGACTGTTGGCCTGGGGAGGGAGGGGATCGGGGCGCGGACCTGCCTGGCTTCACAGCTGGCGTTCTTTCCACTGCCCCACACTGCCTCCCTGTTTAAAATAACCGTGCACGTTGAGTTGGAAGAAAAGGAGCCTTGTGGAGTAAGTGGAAGAAGGAAATGTGTTAGCAGTCCTCAAATATTTGTGGAAGCAGCATTAGAGATTTCATTCTGTACGGCTCCAATGAGTGCAGATTGCAGAGAAACAGATGTCAGTTCAACATACAGAATTTTCCAAGTCAGGGCTGTCTAGAGAGGCTGGGTGGCTCAGCCACTTGGGGACATGACCAGTTCCCTGTCACTTGGGGCTGGGTAACCCCATGACAGGCAGGCAAGCTCTGGATGAGTGCACGGATGACCCTGAAGGTCCCATCTCGCCTGATAGAAGCTAAGGCTCCGGGAAATACTGGAACTTGGCCAGGGTGACCCCTCTGTTGAAGGGTCAAGTCCACACTCGGGTCTCCCCTGGCTGTCCCCCAGCCTAGAGATGTCTGTACAGCATGCTGCTTCATGCTGAGGGCAAGACAAATTGAAGAAATTATTACTACAATCACATCAACCTCACTCTCAACCAAATTCAACTAATATATCCCCAAACTGGTGTCTTACCTCCTCTTCGGGTTCATGTTTTGGTTTAAAGTCTTTGGCTGCAAAGAGGCGAAGACGAGTGGCGGAGGAGAGCAACAGCAGAGCGGATAGCCCGTTAACCAGCCAAGAGGAGCCTCGACCACGGCCGTTTCTCTGGACCACAGCGTTGCCGGGCGCCCCTGCCTTGCGGGGCACGGCCCGTCAGCCCACACCCGGTAGCGTCCCATTGCTCCACGTCTGGAGTCCATGTTATACACTCACACAAAGACGCGGGTGGAAGGGTTCAAAATAAAGTCATATCTTGTATTTTTGTAGCTCTTTGTGCTTGCACGCATATAATCTCCCCTGGCGCTCACCACGGCCCTCTAGGAAACAGCACCTCCCCGAGCTTCCTGGGGCACTCGACTCTTGTTCGCTGTTTTTAAACTGCTTTCCAATTTATTCCTCCACCCCGGATGAGTCAACCCAGTGGCAGGTGTTTCGCTTTCGCTCGATTGCCATCACCGTCACCTCACACCTTCCTCATCTGACCTCTTCCCGTGCCCTCGGGGCCCCCATCCGCACTAGTAGCTCAGCGCTCTGTCTGGGATCCCATTACTACCCCACTGGGGGGCGGGGAGGGGGGGCAGCACCCCCACTTGCTGCCCCAACTCCCAACGGAAACCACCCACGCAGCGCCGGGCGGCCACTTTTCCACACTCCCCCAGGCCCTTGTGGCTGAGACCTTCCCAACCACCCGACGGCTAAACCCACGTGGGAAGGTGCAGCCTCCCTGGGAGTCAGTCCCCACTCCCTGGAGAGGTGGTCGAGCCGGCCAACGGAACAGCTAAGCGTTGTGGGGAAGTCAAGCCTCGGGGGAGGGTTAGGGGACTTTGGGGTTCTCGTCTGCCCCCGAGGTTTGGGAAACAATGACTGAGGACCTCACCCCCATGGCGCTCATGCCTCGTGCAGCCACCCACGAACACGGTGTGGTCCTGCACG